GGTGGGGTGGGTGGACACGCTTCCCAGAACCCCTAGAGCTCCAAGCCCTCCCCAGTATCCACCACCCCGGTCCCAGGAGCTATAAACCTTCTGGATCTGTCATTTTTTAACACTCCAAACATTCCCACACCCTCTCCCAAGCATCCCAGGAAGCAAGTGCTCCAACAGGGGCAGCTCTGTCCGTACCACCGCCTGCCTCTGCAGCTGCTCGGCCGCCCGCTGCGCCGGGGAGAAGCCTGCTGCTCCCACACCCTCAGGGTTCCTCTCGTATCTGTGGAGAACAAAGACCAAACCATTCTTGGACAGAGATCCCAAAGGCAGCAAGCTCTGGGTGTGCTGTGCCTGGACACATACCGGCTGCAGGAGGGGGCTAGGTGCCCCCCGGACAGGCTGGCGCCCGCGGCTCCGTGTGGGGGACAAGGCAGGTTCCCATCTTGAGATGCATGGCTGCTCCCTGGGGAGAAACAAGTGTCTCCTGAGTTAGAGGGACTTGGGGATGACGTGGACTTGCAGAGTTCCCACACAGTTAATCAGGTCTCTGGTTTTGTTGGAGCAAAGGCACGAGATCCAGTCCCCAAAACAAGACACTGCGACTCTCCCAACTCACAGTGGGAAAGATCCCACCAAGCAGTGATCTCTGGCCAACATGCCTCGTTTAACTGACACTGGCCAAAACTTCTACTGCTTGTGGGACAGTGTAGAAAACACCCCCCCTCCCGCAGAAGACTTGTCTCTGGGATTATACTTGGCCATCACTGCAGAAAAGTCCCCTGCTGAAGTACAGGGGAACAAAAGCACTTGCCTACTTGACACACTTGTTCCATCCACTATCAGCATATGAGTATTTAGCCTGGAAAAAGGAGGCTGAGGGGAGACCTTATCCCTGTGGAAAACTCCTGAAAGGAGGCTGGAGCAAGGCAGGGGGTGAGTCTGTTCTGCCAAGCAACAAGTGATTGGACAAGAGGAAATGGCCTCAAGTTGTGCCAGGGGAGGTTCAGAATGGATGCTGGGAACAATTTCTTCTCTGAAAGGGTTGTCAGGCCCTGGCCCAGGCTGCCCAGGGCAAGGGTGGAGTCCCCATCCCTGGAGGGACTGCAAAGCATTTAAGCATCTACGATGTGGTGCTGAGGGACACAGGTCAGTGGTGGCCTCGGCAGGGCTGGGGACTGGTTGGACTGGATGATGATAAAGGTCTTTTCTAACCCAAACGATTCTGTGATTCAATGAGACCCCCAATTAAATGCGAATCTGCCAGACTTTGGGAGGGGGAGGCTGGCAGCTGCTGTGCTTCCTCTCGAGTAACGGGGTTATTTGCAGTTTCTCTGTGCAGGTACCTGATCGGAACTGAATTTTGATGGGCCGGCCGTAGAGCTTGATGCCGTTGAGCAGGCTCAGGCCGTAGGGCACCGATTCTTCGTGCTTGAAGTTGACAAAAGCGAACTGCTTGGGGCGGCCGTCCCTGTCCTTGGGGATCTTCACCTTGATCACCGGCCCGGCCTGCGGATCAGAGACAAGGCCGTTAATGAACCGCAAACGGGCGCGGGGAGCGGTGGGGGA